TTACATGTGTTACGTGCGCACGCACTCGTCTTACGTACATACACGAAAAAACGTCAATAATCATCGATAGTAAATCCCGGCTAAAACATAGAAATGCCGTCGCATGCCTGTATAAAATCCCTAAAAATACTATTCCCTAACATGGATTGTGTTGTTGGATGACATTAGTGACTGTGCGGTGACTGCTTGTTGGCTCGTTTTCTTTCCGTTCCGTTTTCCTCCTCGATGCTCGACACCTCGCCGTGAGAAAAGTTTCATCCCCGACTGAACGCGCCTATCCGTTGTCACTTTGACTGGGTTTTTTTTCTTTTAATTAATATATCACGTTAGTGATTCGATTCGAAATCAGGAAGACTCGATTTGCGACGAAGCGAGGAAGGATAACATGAGCGAGGTTCGAGAATCGAGCGTTAATCGAATTATCATTTTTATCTTTTTAGGCCCCGAGATAATCGTACGCCTATAAATACGCGTCTACTGAATAGTTGAGTTTTGTGAAATGTATGTTTCTTTCAGAGGAATACGTTTACACACCCTCTTTTACTTTTCTATATTCTTACTCGTCTTTCTTTAGTTTCTTATTGAGATTAAAACGCACAGGTATATATTCGGACTCTTTCTTAATTTTCCCGGATCTCGTGTTGCATCGTACGCTGTGTATCGTATGTCTGTACATGCGTTTGACGGCTAAAAATGTGAGTATGTACCGCAATTTAGAAAATGTCTCAGAATTGTAAATCGCACCTGTTACCGAGTATTTCAACGAGTGCGTTTTCTGTGTGAGTGTATATGTGTTTAGTATACGTGTATAAGTGCATCATGTACCATGAAAAGAGACACGGAGAAGGACGGACGCCTCTTAATACAATGCGCCCTTGATTTTGTTTATTTAACTCGTTGCACGTTTTTTACAAGTCTTTAAATATGCCAAAGGTCACTTTTTAAAAATATAAGTTATATCGTCTTTGTTTTTTCTCATTACTCTTTCGTTCTCGCGCATCTTGTCTTTCTTTCTTTCTTTCTCTTTCATTCTCTTTTTCTCTTATGTCTTATTTATGCACTTTCACTCTTGTTCATTCGCACATTGTCACTGGTGCTTCTGTAATTCACTTGTATCACTCTTTTTCTCTTTTTTTTTTCATTTTTTTAATTCAAACTTTTTTTTCTTTTATTCTTTCTCTCTCTCTCTCTCTCTCTCTCGTTTTCTTTCTTTCTTCCTCTCTCGCTGTTCTTTTTAAGTCTTTTGTCATAAAATCCTTGTATATTATTAATAGTACTCATATTTTTTCTTCATTATTTCTATTTAACTCTTTTCTCTAACGAGGAAGTTTCCTAAAAATAATATTAGTTCTATATCAGTTCGGTTATCAGTGTAGCATTTTGAATGTGCATTTGACAATACATGACGTTCGCAATCTAAATAAGAAAAAATCACTGATTCGAAATTGACCCAATGTTCTTTGGGTACAACAATGTTATAAAAAAATATATAATTAATTTAATAACTCCTGAATAAAATATTAAATTTTTTTTTGTGTAAAAATTACGCCAATCCATCCGTTAGTAAACAAATCATAAAGTGTGTTTTTTCAATCGAATTTATGATTTATATACTTTTCCGTATATCTAATTGGTAGTCGACGGTGCTATCAAGTTTGCCACGAGTTTCGTGTCGATGACGTCTAATATGATAGCTCGCGTATTTAATTTTTTAAATAAAAAAAATCCACATATTAATAGAAGGCGCGCGCTGCGTGATAATATTAACAAAAAAAGAGACATATATATAATAACATTTTTAAACAAAAAAAAACGTATAAAATTATCAAAAAATAAAATTGATAAAACAAAACTGCAGATGTCCTGAATTATGACAAATTGTTAATTAATTACTTTTTCCCGTAACTTTATAAATAGTAACATCAAATTCCTTTCACTCGTATCAGGGATAAGTGCTTCGAAATTACAGCTATCTAGCATTGCGTTTGTCAGTGCCCTGTTGCTGCGAGTATTTGTTATTTATTATTAACATTATTATTAAAAGAGGGCTTTTTATATTTCTCTTTTAATTCGCGTCCCATTTGCTACTCGCTCTGTTTGTGCCGAAATCTTTAGTATTTTTATTATACAAATTTCGCAATACTCGACCGATATAATTCGCTCGTTTCAATTTTTCTTTCTTCCTTTCATTCAAAACTTGTTCCTTTTGCGCAAAGATCTAGCACGAGCCGCGCCGCACTTCTTACGTTTGCCCTTTTTTATCATCCTCTCCCTCACATACGCACATACCCACTCATACACACATATACACATTCACATACATGTACACATTCTCGCATTTTTTTTCCTTTAAAATCGTGTAATTTACAATTACTATACAACATGACTGAAAATACCTTAGACCACGATAATACAATTATAATCGTACTGTTTTTTAATTTTTTTATTACCACTTAATTTTATGTATGCTTTTATTTTTTTATTCCTCCAGTATTCATCTCGTTTTTCTTGTACGCGAGTATCTTAAAACATTTATGTTCACTTATCGTACCTCGTACAACGATACTGCTTCTCCTAAGGTTCTTTAGAGTTTTCTTAGATACTTACATCTCTACCTATTTATAACGATTTCTACCTATATATATATATATAATACTCTCTATCTGTCTCAAGCACTCTTGGACGCATACGCTCTATTCTCATTCGTTGACCTATAATATTCATCTGTCTATCTAAATACCTATCTAACGATTTAGCTATCCATCTATCTAAACGTCTAGCTACTTTTTTATTCAAAGTATCCGAGCTTTTCTCTTGTCGTTATTTAATTGCTCGCGCCTCTACTTCCGATCTCGTTCGCTTAGCAATATATAATATATCTACAGAGCTCGTTGGTCGCCTCGTTTGGAAATGCCGGAAACGCTCGTCGTGACGACAAAGACCTTTCGTCGGGAAAAGTCTTCCCTTTTGCGGTATCGACTCGTCACCTCTTCTTCAACACTAAGTCTAAATACAAACCCAGTGCAAAGGTACACGAGTCTCTGAAGAGCAAATTATACATGCGTGGACTCTGACTCTAACAAGGACCATTATCTTCAGTTACTTTCGTTCCAGCGGCCGGCATGGAATTTAACGAGAGGTCGTCGAGGTCAGAGACGAGACTTTACATCTTTCGCGCGGCTATTTCTTTTCCCTTGTACTACGTGTACTTTTAATTACATCTCGCCCGTTGGAAAAAAAAGATCGGGGATGGGAGGGGGGGAATGTCGCGAACGCGACGACGACCACTGTATCCGAATATGGCTATCAAAAAGACGTCTGGCTTCATGGCCGTTATATCTATATATATATATATTTATTTATTTATAATTAATCGTGAACATGGTAACAAATAATGAAACATTGAAAAAATTGCACAATATACAAACTTAGTGTTCAGCTCGTCTCCTCCCTTAGATTCTCTATCTTTCAGGTATGGAATATACCCATGGAAAAAATACACACACACACCCACACACACACACACACACACATACACACACATACACACATACACGCACACACGCATGCACACACGCTCACACAAATACGTATACACGCGCTCATCGACGACCCACGCAGACTTAACAGCCGCACTCGCATGCACATGCACTCGTACAAACCGTGCCGACAGTCTCCATCAGTCGGGCTTACTCAGTAGGTACGATATATCTTTAGATTCTACGTGCGTATCAATTAATTTATTTGGCCACTGAACATTTAAAATTTAGTTATTTTTTTATTTCTCGTCTCCTTGGCTATTTCGTCTCTTACGACCAGGTAAGATTAGTCTTTTTGAAGTGTGTCCTCCTTCCTTCGTTTTTTGATGAGTTACATTGCAACGATTTCGATTTATTTCGTACCCTTTTCTTTTTGCTTTTTGACATTGTCGCCAGGATACTTGATTATTTTGTTGCACGCGGTACTTTAAATATCGGGATTTTGCAGATCGATGACGAGCGAGACGAGCAATCTCCCGCTGATGGCCGTATGTTGTAGAAGCGCTCGCGGATACAAGATGATAAAGTTGACTGTCTGTCGTAGATCATGTACGAGGCAGGGAATCATTCGCGAAATATTCGGCTGCGTGAAAAGCGTACGAAAGTCTTATGCGGATTATACAGCCCGTAATATACTTGCTTATCTACATTGTTTCAATGAGTATGACGAGAATATTAAAAAATATATATATTCATTTGTATTCTGCTGAGTTTTTCGTGATGATCGTTTCATCGAACGATCCCCTTACCCGCGCATGTTTCGAGTAATGCTACAGTCGGAAAAGATCACGAGAGAAAAAGCCCTTTACATTCCCCCACAAGAATGCAAAATTCAATCAGGTCTTCTTTTTTTTCCGCAAGAATAAAAAAGCGCTGCGTCAATAATGACGATCGAGTGGATTACCTGAAAGCTGGAGTGTGTCAGCATTTAGTAAAAATCAGCTGTAAGTAACAAAGCGAAACAGTCGTATCTCGCATTTGTAAGCTTCTTTGCGAGCGGGCTGGAACGGTGGCGGCGGCGGAATCGGTGGCGCGGGCCGCGTTGTAATTCGCACTGTAAATTCAGGATTAGCACCCGATACAGCGAATCTTCGTTGCCGTCGAAACTGGTCGAAATCACGTATTCAATTACCACGCGTCGCGTCCGTCTCGACTCTCCGCTGCGTGAGAGCGCGATTACGATACGAGAAAGATCGTCAGTGGTATCGCGAGTGCCGGCGTGTGCGTTTTTTAGCCGCGAATGTCTTCGCAGAGTTCCTGAAAGAAAAAGCAAGAGAAAGGAAATAACGTTTGGCACCGACAGTTTGCATTATTGTAATATATATATATATATATATATATATAAGTATATCTATATATTATATAATATTATATATTATAAGTATATTATATATTTATATTATATTATATAATAGATAATTATACATTATATACATATTACTATATATAGTAGGAGCATGTCTTTTATTTAACATTACAATTCTCTCCTTCTTTTATCAAATGAGCATCCGTCCGTGCCGCGCGCCATTGAGGATGAAAACTTTAGGCTTTCTCCAGTCAGCTTCTCGCTTCTCGAAGACCTCCGGTTGCTAAAGTCGCAGCTTGAAATCTTCGACGATAGCGCTGATCTTAGAATGTAACGAATTGGCAGTGATTGACGTCTCTCGTGCGAGACTTCCCGGGCGACTTCTTTGCTCGGCAATTTCCTCGGAGGTCCCCTCCCTATATTACATTGGCTGCAATTTCTCTTCTGAATCACTGCTGACCATGGATGTTTCCGTCTCCTCAAATTCGCGCGAATTAGCGGGGTCGATGATTTGTTTCGTGCGATCCCTTTGGCTCTTAAAGACAAGTGTCAATTACTTTTTTCCCTCCTGATTTTACGCATCAGAACACTTGGAGGAAATACACGTTATACACGTGATTCTTTGGACTCCGATGAAGTGTTACTTTATAATACACCATCTGCTCGTCAAGCCTTCTTTCGAATTGTTCTTATGGATTGTTTTAGACATAAACTCGATCTTCGATTGTCTCCAAACGGCGTGTTTCGCTGATCATCGATCTCCTCAAGTGTTCCTCGAAAATTCATTCTTTTTGTCAATGATGGAGTCTGGCAAATCTCGAATACCTAATACAGCTACTTTCGTAGATCTCTCTCTTGATGTTTGTTCATCAAGTTTAGGCGTTCGATAATCGATCGCTTTCTACCTGCAGCATATTACTAGGTGACCTCGGAAAATGTTAGATCGCGTGCAAATGTCGAAGATCTTTGCGATCTTTACGAGGAAGAGGTCTCGACGGTCCCAACCGCGGAGTGTGACGCGCGGCTAAGACCGCTCGCGGAGACGATTGATTACACGTGTCTCTTCATGTGGAGAGCTAGATGGTCGCTGCGGGAGAAGCATCGGTCGCAATGCCGACACTTGAACGGCTTTGCGCCGGTGTGCTTGCGGTAATGGCGCGTCAATTCATCCGAACGCGCGAATCGCCATTCGCAGCCCTCCCAACTACACTTGTACGGTTTCTCCCCTGAAACAGAAAAAAAAGCAAAGCCACGTTAGAGAATTTAGTAGGGCACTTAATTCTCCAAGTAGTAGTTATTCTCGCAAACGATTTCGATAAGCCACTATAATATTCTAATTGATATGTTTTAACGTCTAAGAGATATATTTTAACGTTTATAATAAACTAGCAGTAAACAGACAACGATTTTCAATAAAATCTGTAAGCAATATAAAATTCAACAATAATTTTATGTTTAAAAAATACTAAAGATTTGTCGAAATAAAAAAATTAATTTTTGTTTTCAGAAAATTAATAAAAATTAAAATTAGAAAAATTTATATAAAATCTACAAATATCCTTCGTCACTTAATTTATAGATTTATAACAGATTATGTGTAAGTAGGTAACAAATAAGTACATTTTCTTTTTAATAAATTCTTTTGATTTCGAGATTATGAATTAACGTATATAATTCTAAATATTACTACTTGCTATAAATCACGTATGCCTAGTTTCGCTAAACTGCCATTGTCAATTGACAGTTTGCGCAGACATAACATAACGCTGGATAAAGCCCGTTTATATAGAGATAAGCGGAACCACATAGTACCAGTCTCCTACTTGAGAAAGCTCGTTCGTTCAATGTTATGATCCACTGTAGGAGCTTCCTTGATCATAGGACAGTATCGCGATAGGCATAAGCTTACTGCAAAGCGATTCAATAGATTTCCGCGCAATGATACGAGGCTTGGACGTTATTATCCCCCTAAACAGACTATCAAAGACAATGAGTAGTATCTAATCGTCGTTAACTGCGACGAAACGTCGACGACGGGATTCGTGTCCAACTATCGACACAATAGCAACCGCACGTTGGGTGGCGACACGATACAAATCCCTACGTCGCAAATCCGAGATAATCCTGTAGGATTCGCGCGGCGATTGAATCTGATTTAAAAACCTATACAACCCTGAAAAATCCGCACGATGCCGCCCGTCCAGCGCCGCTGATTTGCGACGCATGAGAGAAATATTAGGGACCGGCCATGAAAAACACATATGCGACTGTACGCTGAGACGGAACTGCTCGTCAGGCGGAAGAAGAGACCATGTGTTATTAAGTCCGTAAATAATCTATTCGGTAATATAGAAGGTGGCTGACGTTGATGAGACTACGGCGGAGAAGAGACAATACGAGGTCACCTCCTGTGGCGCGATGTTAGCGAGATTAACAAAGGAGTTTCGCAGCTTGGAAAGAGAAGCAGGTTGAGGTAGGGACGGGAGAGGTTGAATCAGAGGCTGTAGAAACGACGGCGAACCCTATAGCTGGTAAATCGTGATCCGATAGAGAAAGGGTAGCTGGCACCGCGTCGCCCACATCGTGACTCATCGATCTAACAATAACAAACGATTTCTATCCTTTTATGTATGTCCTAATACAGAATCGTGTACTGTTCTACCCTTTAATTTTTCATTATGGATTATGATATTTTTGATTCACAATCAGTTGTCGAATATTTTCGCAGATCAGTTGAAGAGTATCACAAATTAATTCTACTCCATTTATGATGGGTCTCGAAACATGAATCTCGACAAAATTCGAAAGAACATTTGAGTAAAATATCTGTACTTAACTAATAAGTGAAATAATAGATTATCTTGTTGAATAAATCTCTCAAGGAATAATGAAAAATTATGGCTCGCGTAAAAAGGTTACAAGCGAGGGCTTTGTCTTCCTGATTTAAACTTTCGGAGTGTCCGTGCAGACATGTCTCTTGTCGCGATCTAGATACGTCCGTTGTAAAGCACTTTGAGCTCGCACTGAAATACGATCTTCTATTATTTTTGTCAAGGCACGAAATTTGTCGGGCATATCCAACTGCATCTAGGAACTGATGCGCGAGTATATTTCACAACACCGCCGTCGAGATAAAAGTAATACAAATGTGTGTATAAAACCCCGAAGAGAAACGTTTAACACGTCGCATGCCCTCCCGCGGTTCTCATAAATCCGAAAAAGAGGTGGAATTCTCGACTCCACAAAGTGCTGTTTTTAGATTGCCATGTCTGTTTGCGAGTTTGCGCAAAAGGCACGGTTGTAATTTAAATGTAGCGTTTTCTCATCCGTGTAACACGCTGCGTCTGAAAAAGTAGATGTAACAGATTGCATCATGATTTTAGTTAGAGTTGACGAAGGTATTTTCCACGCGTCGCGCCCGGATCAGTTTTTGACGGAAAAATACACTAAATTATGTAATCTGAAATACAATGATAATATCCACTAATATATATGTTGCTGCAAAAAAATTAATATTACTCTTTAATTATTAACCCTTTAGAGCTGGTGAGTCCAATGAACCGACTCAAATTTCTTTGTTGAAAATGCCAAATAATTTAATTTTCTTTGTATTTGGTTTATTCTTATTAATAAACGAATTTTTGTGCGATTTCATATTTTTTTTAGAAAGCAGATTGGAAAGTAACATCAATACAACAAATAGAAATTTGTTTTGTTGAAAGAGCATTCTAAAAATGCATATTTATTTGTGCATATTATGTATATTTTCATATTTGTACAAATTTGCACGTTTTGTGCATATCTGCATAATTATCTGCATAAAAAAATCCGATGTTTACTTATTAAAATATAGGATAATTCCGACAAATACGCCGCACTGGGATTTACGCCGTAGAAGTCAGAAAAAATAGAAGGAGTGGGGATAATTTTCCCGCAACTACTTTGTTACATGCCTTTATGTTATATTAGTATTGTGTTAAGATTCCAGTTTCTTACTGTTAATATTAATGAAATGCATATATCCCACCCCTATGGGATATACGGCAAAAATACGAGGGTTTAAAAAGTTCATTTTTTAATACGAAATATAAATATTTCGGATTTCCAATATATTTTTCATAATAGTAAATAGTACAAAGTTTTTACTGATATAATTCGTTTACTTTAAACAATAAATAATACTTAAAAAATTAAGTCTTTGATAGGTATGGCGTATATACCGGAGTTACCCTACTAATAAAATTAATTATTGCCTTTTAATTAATATAAATTATTTAGATTTTACAGACCCAGTGTCAGTAACTGTGTTATATATTTTGACTCGAGAGGATTAATTATGTAACCGATATTAAATTTTATAGAAAGATAAGAAAAGCATCTTCAGATTTTTCTTTGCAGAGTTACTGCAGTCCTATGAATTACAACAGATTTATTGTAGATTTATATTCTAGATATATATAAATATCGTAAGTTTCGTATTTTGCGAGATTGGCGCAAAGCTTTTAAAAATACATGTATCTGTGTATATGAAGGATAATTTCTGAAAACTCGGATCTCGATTACACAGTCACAATGACTGGTGCAACTGACATTTTCCCGAACGACGTTCTACGACTCGCGAGAAGAGAAGGGATGAAGGGAAAAAATTTACACCGCGTTTCAGTCTCTTTCAAAGTTGTACCGAGGGGGTACTGATGGGAACCCCTCTTCTACACCGAGTCTCTCATCCCTAGCAGGAGGTGACGACGACAAATCCAGCCGGGACGTGGCGACGCATAACCAAATCCATCCACCCCTTCGCTCCCCGTTACTTCACCACCTGCACCCACCCTCGACTGGCTGTTTCCGGCGCCTCCGCCAACGACACCCGACATTCTACGAGGCCGCGACTCTACGGAAAATACGGCACACGTACTTGACGTACCTCACACCGTTCATCCATCTCACCCTTTCGCCCTTCGCGTTTCGAGAAAAGCAACCCCCGGATACCATCCGTTCCCCTTGCCGCCTGCTGTCCTCCGCAGCCAGCTAAAGAAATGGTGACACGAATGTGCCTGAGCCCCCCCGCGAGGGCGGGAATTGCGGACTCGCGTCGAAAGGAAATTCCGAGGAAGATAAGGATAAATAAGGTAACCGCGACGGTATGGAAGGTGCTGGTGGTGCATGTATTACAACTAGCCTAGCAGGCGAGAAGAAAAATTGTCGTTGACTTCATTATTGGATCGCCACGATGATGAGAGAATACTCGTCTCTCGACCATAAAATTTCGCAAGATGTCGACACGAAAAAAAAATATGATCGAAATGATCAATTCGTTGAATTCACGCCACAGTCTACGTACAGAGTATTTATCTTCATTATACAACACATTCGGATAAATAAAGAAAATTCAGCAATTATCGCCAATTTTTGGTTGCGTTAGCCAATCGAAATCCTGTACTGACATAGGTTAACACAACTAAAAATTGCAGCAACCAATCTTTTTTTTCAGTATATATACACACACACACACACACACACACACACACACACACGTCATCTTGTTGCCGTATTTTTCAATGAGATCTGTCATCGCAGCTCCCGTACAATATAAAATGAGGAGATGATTGCTTCGTTCGAGAAGCCATCGGAAATCGCGAGAGAACAAATGCGAATGCGAGCTACGTACTGGCGCTCGCGGAGGTAGCGCAATTTTTGCAAAAATCCTGTGCGCTACGGCTACGTAATGTTCGATTTCACGGACGAATTAAATTTTGCGTAGCCATGGCGACCATACCGTAACGTTTTACACGACCGCAGGCGTTTATCGCGAACGCGTGCCCCGTCTGATCCGTTCGACGCGCATGGGCATATCACGGCGCGAGTTGGAATACACGCATACGAAACGACATGTACGTGTAACGGGCATTGCGCATTTTATCGCTGCATAATGGCCTCCCGGCGGTTCGTTACCACCTACGTAATAAAGCCATATTAAACAAGATGGCTTAACGCGTTAAACCCTCTCGTCCCGTTCCACCTTCTCATACCCTTCGCGCGGGTCGACAACGAATGTCGCTAAACGACGTCCACGTATGGAAAACACGCTCACACCCTCGCCCGCGTCTCTCTAGATATTTTTAAGGATCGTACATCAGGATGCATTTACTGTCTCCTCTTCCATCCTCCGTTACGTCGATAGTTAGAGCTAAATTTACGGAAATTATTTCCTACGATGGATGTAAAT